GGGGCGCTGGGAGCCCGCCCCCCTCTGTCCCGCCCCACAGGCCCCCGCGGCGTGCCCCCCGCTTCGGTGCACCCCCGCCGCGGCCTCACTACCCACCGGCGCCGGGCAGCCGGAGGTCGGGGCGACCCCGCTGCCGAGCTGGGCCGGGCGCTTGCCGGTTTAGGGTGAACATAGACAGGCAGTAGGGTTTGAACAAGTGAGGATGGGGAGGTCGGGCGAGCAGATGTCAGCTCTAGGTAGTGACGGGGATTGGCTCGAACCCTCATGCAGGCAAAGGGCCCTGCGTGGGCTGTTCTAGCCACCGAGAAGGCGCTGGGGGGTGTGGGAACGCTCCAGAAGGGGTCAGGGAGCCGGGGAGCGTGTGAGTACTGGAGAGGACGTCCCCCTGCCATGCTTTGGCTGTGTCTCTTTCTCTTTAGGGAGTTGGTGGGTCGGGTAGTCACACATCCCCCTCAGTCACTGAAAGAAAGTGAGCAGAGAGGCCGGTACCGTTTAATCTTTATTAAAGGAAGAATCTGCTGGGCTGTGCTCAGAGTGGCAGGCAGCCCAGGGCTGCCCTGAAAATGGGAGACAGCAGCTAACCCAGGACGGTGGGAGCTTATATTGATATGTTGGCGCCAAGAGCTGGGTGATGCCATCAAGGAGGGTCATTATGCTAATGTGGATCAGGGTGGAGAACTGCATCCTTGCAGAAACAAAAGGGTTTTCTGTTTAAGTCAGGAGGCTTCTCCTAAAGGGAAGGGGAGAGGGGAGGAGGTGGGCTGCTCTTTTTTGTACTTGGGCTTGTCTAAAGTGGTGCTGGTTATGTTGCAGATCTATTATTCCTGCCTTTTAAGTAGGGGAAAAAGGGTGGAGGTCTCATTCTTCTGAAGCTACTTCCTGCTGGAGATGGGGGAAGATATGGAAAAAATAAAAGATTTAGGTGGTGAGGTACTGGTTTCATGTGGGGAGGCTGTATTCCTTCCGGGAACTGTCGCTGATTCTGAGGGGATGATATCCTTCTTGCAGGGACAATTCGGCGACCTTTTGGTTGGTGAAAGCCTGCATTTGTTCCTGCAAGAAATTAGAGAAACACCAAATGAGGCAGGGCCCGAGAAGAAGAAGAAGGCCTATTATGGTTAAGGGTCCTAGAAATGTTACCAGCCAGGGGGTCCATTTCCATAGCCCACTCTCATTGTCCCAGGAGTCTGCTACAGCCTGTCTCTTTTTAAGCCATCTGGTTGCCGGATTTGTTTGTGTAAAAGCAGCATTCCTCCCCCAGGAATAGACAAAGCCCTCCCTTCTCTGCTGTTAGCAGGTCTAGGCCCCATCTATTTTGTAGAACTAGTTCTGCCAATATGTTTGTGTTTTGTGTGTACAGCTGATGGCATCTGACTGGCCATAACACACAGTGGGAGCATGTAGTAGGGCTGAGAATATCTTTTGGAGCAACGAGTACACAAAGGACAGTTTTGAGTGATTTGTTTTAGTAACTTGGCCATGTGGGGAGAGTAATATCAGGGCTGAAGAAGGCGTGGTAAAGGTTCATAGCCTATATGAACTGTGTTGTGGAAATCTAAGAGGATTTGTTCAGCTTGTGTGGTAGGGAGGACATAGCGACCGGAGAGAGTATACCAGTAGTCTTTCCTCTGTGCTCCCAACTGTTGGAGGTGTTGTATTTCTTGGGGTGTGTATTGGGGTAAGGGCATAAGGGCCATGAGAAGGACCTGAGCAGGAGAGGAAGAGTGGGGGCCTGGTGATTGAGCAGCCTGTTTTGCAGTTAGATCTGCCAGTTTGTTTCCCTGAGCTATGGGGTTGTTGGAGGTTTGGTGTCCTCTGCAGTGTGTAACCCCAACCTCCTTTGGGAGTTGTGCAACCTCAAGAAGTATCTTGATAAGATGTCCGTTTTTTATGGGCCCTCCCTGAGTGGTCATGTATCCTCTCTCCTTCCATATGGCTGCGCAGGAGTGTAGGATGTGGTGAGCATACTTAGAGTCAGTGTAGTGAGAGTGCGGGTGAGGGCAATGAGTTCTGCTTGTTGGGAAGTGGTGTTGGGAGGGGCAGCCTCAATAGTTTGTGTTAGATTTACTATGGCATAACCCGCCTGGGGGGTGGGTATGGAGGTGGCACTCTCATCTATAAACCATGTATGTTGGGGCCACCTAATGGGATGTTGGGAAATGTGTGGAAAGGGATTGAGAAAAAGGTCTAAAGCCTCTGTGCAATTATATTCTAAAGGTTGTGAGTGTTTTGGAAATAGGGTAGGTGGATTTAAAGGAGGGCAAGGTTCGAAAGAAAACAGAGTTTTCAATGAAAGTAAGGTGAATTAGTTGTAAGCAGGAGGGAGAGAGAATTGACACGGCCTTGTGGCTGATAAGGTCTTGGAGATGATGAGGGGAACAAATGACTGTTTGTTGTCCAAAAGTTAGTTTAGAGTTTTCCTGTGCTAAAAGGGCAGCTGCCACCAAGGCACGTAAACAGGGGGCCCATCCCTGGGCTGTGGTGTCCATTTGTTTGGAAAGGTATGCAACAGGGGAGATTTCTCCTGCTTCTTGTCCCAAGACCCTGACTACCATTCCTTGGGTTTCAGTGATGTATAGGATAAATAGATGAGATAGGTTTGGGAGGGATAGAGCTGGAGCTGCAAGGAGAGTGGCTTTTAATTGCTGGAAGGGAGAATGAATGGGTTTTGTGGAATCTAAAGGAATTGCAGGATCCCCTTTGGCTGCCTCATAAAGTGGTTTTGCTAGCACACCAAAGTTGGAATCCACAAACGGAGATATCCTGCAAGCCCCAGGAAAGAGAGAGTTTCACTCTTTGTAGTAGGAGTAGGGAGTTCAGAAATTAAACTCTTGCGATCCACCATTATTTCTCTAGTGTTGGGGGTGAGGTGGACTCCCAAATAAGTGACTGAAGGGGAAGAAATTTGGGCCTTACTGGGGGACACTTGATATCCCCTGGAGGCCAGGAAATTAAGGAGAGCAACAGTGTGGGCCTGTGAATCCTCATAGGAGGGGCTACAAAGGAGGAGGTCATCCACATATTGTATTAACATGCTAGAGGTTGGAGGAAGTTCAGATAAGTCTTGAGCTAAGGCCTGGCCAAAGAAGTGGGGGCTGTCCCAAAACTCCTGACGTAGTACTGTCCAGGTGAGTTGTTGGGAATGATGAGTATCAGGGTCAGTCTAGGTGAAGGCGAACAGGTCTTGACAGGAAGGGTGTAAGGGGATAGAAAACAAGGCGTCTTTGAGGTCAAATACAATGAAGAAACAGGTTGTTGTTGGGATTGTGGATAGAAGAGTAGTGGGGTTAGAAACGATTGAGGTTATGGGTAAAATGGCCACATTAATGGCCCTGAGGTCTTGAACTAAACGGTATGAGCCATTAGGCTTTATAACCAGAAGGATGGGCATATTACAGGGTGAATGGGTGGGTTGTAGAAGATGAGAAGAAAGGAGTTTGTTTATAAGGGGCTTTAACCCTATTAAGTGCTTAATAGTGGATGGGGTATTGTGGAACATTAGGGAAAGAAGAATCCCACAGCCTCAAGAGGATGGGAGGGTGATGAGTAGTGATGGAGGGTGAGGAGGTATCCCATACTACAGGATTAACTTGTCAGGGGAAAAAGGGAGGGTAGAAGTTTCAGGGCTCAGGTCTGGGGCGGCCTGCAACAGGAGTATTGTAGCTGGAGTTAAAGTGTTCAGGGTAAGGGTAGCTTTGAATTTGGAAAGGGTGTCCCGCCCCAATAAGGGGGTTGGGCATTGAGGCATTATTAAAAATTTGTATTTGAATTGGGTGTGATGTAGGGTGCAGGAAAGGAGTTGAGTGATCTGTGGGCAGTATTCTGATCCCATGACCCCTGCTATTGTAATAGAGGAGGTTGTTGGTCCTGCATATTCAGGAAGGGTAGAGTAAGTGGCCCCT